TGGATCTAAGTACGACATGTTATTTTGGTGTAATATTATATGTTATAACTCGTATGTTAGATGAGATTTGATATAATTTATCAGGATAAGTACAATCTAATGATTCTTTCTATATTCCCGGGCTAAAACGGGTGGCTCATTAACCTTGACCCACTAACTCGACCGGGTCCGGGTCAGCTCGCGGGTTGACAACCTTGGATAATAATAATACAATATTCTTTATATTTCTTTGCTCTCTTTCTTTGATTATTGAAAACACATAACATGTTCAATTAATTGGGCTGTGGGTGGGATGAGTAGATGGCTCAACTTCCTCATTCATTTGCACAAGTTAAACTTGTCTTCTCCATTCAATTGTTGAAAACAATGGACGTGTATAATCAATTAGTTGATGAGCAATCACTCATGTGTTGCCCACCATGTGTGATATATTAAACTCATTTTACCTTAACTGTAAATTACCATTTGACACAAATTACACGTAAAATTTACATATTGAATTTAAAAAATAGAGTAATCAATAAATCTTCAACACCTCTCTTAATTATTACAGTTCAAGTCACCCACTCATTCTTTCCGAAGAATTTCTTTCATGAATAAATTGTTAATCAAACCAATTAACTATGAACACCACAATCATCAGAAAGAATAGACTTTTCAACACATGACTTGCAGTCTGGAATGCATGATGGCGTACCTATTATTAGCGGCAGCCGACAAGAGATTCAGTTTATTATGCAATGCTTTTAGTTTTCTTTATCACCACAAAAAAAAAATTTAAAGAAAAGATGATTCTGGGTGTTCCCTGTTGGCCTATATATATAACAAACTATCTGCTGCCCATCACATTCTACAGCAGCAAAGCAGAGAAAATGGCGATTCCTCTTCTCACCAACCACCAAATGGGTGACTTCAGCCTTTCTCACAGGCACGTATAATTTACATTCGACAACATCATGATTCATGACTACTCTCTTCTAGGCATGTCGAACTGATTCCGTTCCACTGATGCTTCTACCTATTGTTCCACAGAATTGTGTTATCACCATTGACTCGACAGAGATCGTATGGAAATGTGCCTCAGCCACATGCCATCTTGTATTACTCCCAGAGAGCCACCAATGGCGGCCTTCTCATTGCAGAAGCAACTGCAGTTTCGCCAACCGCTCACGGTTTCGGAAATTCATTTCTCCCTTGCCTTTCGAATAGACTATATATATATATATACACCTTTTTCTATCTGTGCAACTTATTTGCTACCTTGTCGATTGAAAGCTATACCGACAGCCCTGGCATTTGGACTGAAGAGCAAGTAGAAGCATGGAAGCCCATTGTTGACGGTGTCCATGCCAAAGGTGGAATATTTTTTTGTCAACTTTGGCATGCTGGCAGGGCTTCAAATACAGGTCTGTTGTGGATATTAATAATTACTTGGTAGGCCAATAAATGAAGTGACTCAAGACGCCGAAAAAAATATGAATTCTGCTCATAGGAGACAGAATTTAGAGTCACTAATTGATGAGCTCATTAACGAGTAGAATTCTAGTTGATCTCTAGTCAAACACAATCCAAAATTTTAGTAAACTAGTTGAGTTTGAACTCTATTTATTTATTAACAAGTTGAGCCCAAATTAGGTCAAAACTCAGCTCGGTTCGGCTCATTTGCACTTCTACTTCCTAATTGTCTACCTTGCTTAAATCTACATGGTAAATTAATGTGGAATGCTCTTTTAATATGAAATTGTGCAATTTGAGCCAAATATGGAATGATTTATATTTGGGTTCCTATCCTCTTAAATACTTGATACTGATGTCCTATATATACAACGGATTTTTTCTGTTGTATTTTCGATCTGATGCTTGGATAGTAATATAACATCTCAAGCTTTAATTTTTCTGTTACTTGCCTCATTACTTTAATGTGAGTTTTATTTCTGACGACTTATGCAAAAGAGCATCTCGTACCATTCTCTGCGATTGCATAATTCAACTATTTTAGGGGAAATCATATATAATGGGAAGAGTTATCTTAGAAATTAAAACTTGGTTCATAACTATAAACGGTTATCGTTAATTATTCAATGACAGTCTAGAATATTATCTATGATTGGTATATGTCCATGGACATGCAATAATTAATGCGTCGCTGTCGTTCCATACAGATATGCAACCTAAAGGCCAAGCTCCAATCTCATGTACGGACAAAGGACTGGACTTGGACTACCGACTCCCGTACTCACCTCCAAGAAAATTGGCGACCGATGAAATCCCCGCGATTGTCGAAGATTTCCGAATCGCCGCAAAAGCTGCCGTAAAAGCAGGTTTTGACGGAATCGAGATTCACGCGGCTCATGGCTACCTAATCGACCAATTCATGAAAGATGAAGTCAACGACAGGACCGACGAATATGGCGGCTCTCTGGAGAACCGATGTCGTTTCGCCTTAGAGATAGTCCAAGCCCTGACCAAGGAAATCAGTTCGGGCCGAGTTGGGATTAGGATTTCTCCTTTCGCGGACTATCTAGAATGCGGCGACTCGAACCCAGAAGAGTTGGGCATGTACATGGCCCAAGCCTTGAACGAATATGGCATCGCTTATCGTGATCGAGCCCAGAATGAAGTTAGGGGATCGACTGTTCCAGGCCCAACAAAGTTTGGTTCCTATGAGAAAGGCTTTTAAGGGTACTTTCATATCTGCTGGTGGGTTCACCAAGGAAGATGGGAACAGAGCTGTGGAAGAGGGGCGTGCGGATTTAGTAGCTTATGGTCGTTGCTTCTTGGCGAATCCTGATTTGCCCAGGAGATTTGAGTTGGATGCACCTCTGAACAAGTTCGATAGAGTCACGTTTTATTCTTCCGATCCTGTTGTTGGGTACACAGATTACCCATTCCTCGAAGAATCTGGTCTCTAGGTTTTGCAGCACTGGTGGTTGTGCTTGTGTAACAGCAATGCTATTGGAATTGAAAACCCTACAAACATGTATGATTCTCATTGATCAATAGTATAACACCCTAGTCCAGGAGGACATTACTTTTATAATATTTCCTTAATAAAGTGTGAACCAAAATAAGGACTGAGAAGACTTATAAAAATAGCGGAAGCTTTTTATCAATGACTTCAATAAATATGAAAAATACATTGTCATTGCTTAAAACAAAGGCCTAATACTTGGATAAACTCAACCATAAACTCTTACTACTATAATCGTACAATATAATAACTAAAAGCCAACGCTAGTGCTTACTGGCATTAGATCTCTGACACCATCAGTGACGCTTGTACTGTCCTTCTTTAGCTGGCTGCTCACTCTACTCTCGGTCCTCCTCTACGACCTGGTGAGTGGGTTGGGGTAAGTCTACGTCATTATCTAAACTCGAAGCACCTACGTTTATTTTCTTATATGTTCACCTCAAAACTCGTGAAAGTTGTTTATACTTTCACCCTTTATACTTTCTCTTAAAAATATGAGAGTTGAAGTGACTCGTCACACTGAAAATCTCAAACATTAGATCGACACTAGGATCCCCTCCCTAACTAGTCCAACAGCCCAACCCTTACGTATGAGGGTCAACATATGTCTAAATTTTCCTTTCCTTTTATGGGAGCCTAGCTTATTGATTCAGCCCCATAAACCTTAAGAGCATTATGTGCTCTTCCTTTAAACTTTCACTAGAAAGGGGACTGGCGTTCGAGGACTACCTTGACTTAACTGGCACCACCACTCGCCTTCCTTACTTAAACATGATTCAATTTGGATATAAAGAAAACACAGGGTGAAGCTCTTGGATCTAGTTTTGTTCTAGTGGATTGGATTGTTGAGGCATAACTGAGAGAGCCAAACACCTTCACGCGACTGAGATCAACTTTGTGACCATGAAGTTTTCAAATGGATTGGAATTATTAAGCAAACGGGGTTGGTGATTTGTTTATCAAGTGCATATGCATAGGAACAAAATTTAGAAGTGATGAGATAAGTAAGCTAGAAATAGCAAAGCTCAGGTCACTGCCAATACATGATAGTGTTTTCTGTCAATAATTCCATTTTGTTAAGAGGAGTAAACACAAGTTGTTGATGAAGGACTCTTTTGGAGTTGTAAAATTATGGAATTTGAAATTTATACTTTAATTTTTGCATTGAATTGTTTTTAAACATATTCAAAGAAAATAATAATGATATTTCGATTTTTAGATTTATACTTCATTAAGAAAATCCAGGTATGTCTTGAAAAGTCATCTACTATTGTTAGAAAATAGGAATGACCATTTAATGATTTTGACGGAGTATCCCGAGATGTCAATATGTAACAAGTCAAAAGGTTTAATAGTTTGGCTAATACTTTGAAACAAAGGGCTATCGCTTGTGTTTTGCTAGATTGAAAATATATATAATGACAATATAAAGTAGGGGTGGCAGATCGGTTTCCAGTTAGCGGCTAACCGGCGGGTTTAACCGCTAACCTCCGGTTAGTAACTAACCGAAAACCGGTCGGTTATGAGTCACGGTCGGTGTTCGCCAAGACTGAAGGGTTCTCCGAGTAACCGAAGGCGGTTAACCAAGGTTAACCGGCCGACCGACCCACAACCGAAAAATGTAAAAAAAGAGGATGAATAAAGTGGTTAAAAGTAAACCAACCCCAAACCCAAATCGACCTTCTATTCCATTCCACCCTCACCTCCACAGACACCCTGCCTCCTCCGCTCCCCCTCCTTCCACCGCCACCACAACTTCCTCTTGGCCATCGTTCCTGGTTCCGCCGGCGGGAGACGGATCGCCGTCGCGACGACGACGACAAAGAATAACAACTTCGTCCGCCCTCTTCTGACTCCGAGCCGGCCATGCAAGAGGCAGAAGAAACTTGCTCCGCCCTCTTCTGATTCGCTTTAAGATTTTGAAGTTTCCTCTTTTTCTTTTTTTCCCTTGATTTTTTCCTAATTTTGCCTTTGAATTGGATTTCTCTTCTTCAGGGGATATTACCGATGTAGCACATCCAAGGCTTGTATGGCCCGGAAACAGGTGGGGCGGAACAGATCCGACCCGGGAATGTTCATCGTCACCTACACGGCGGAGCACAGCCACCCGGCTCCCTCCCACCGGAACTCCCTCGCCGGAACCACCCGCCACAAGACTTCTCCGACCGAGGAATCGGAGAAGCCCTGTTCCGACGTCAAGCCGACCAGTTCGTCTCCGACGACCCCCGCAGAGGACGACGATCAGCAGCAGCTCCTCCTCCAGGGCACGGCGGCGGCGGAGAGCAAGGAAGTGGATTTGGAGATGATCGAGGACGAGGAGGACAACGATGAGTCGGGGAACTGCGACGAGTTCTCGCCGGATGCTCCGGACGACGATTTCTTCGTGGGTTTGGAGGAGCTCACGAGTTTGGCTGCGGGGGATTGCTATTCCGTGCCTTTCCCGACGGGGTTTGGGTTCCCTAGGCTCGCCACCGCCGGGAGTTTCTGAGACTTTGAGTGATGCGACTCGCGGCTCTGCTTTCCTGCAGATCTGTTTCCATGGAGAAAGAAGGTGAGAGAAGAAGAAGGAAGGAGAGAGGAGAGATGTCTGGTGAAGGAAGGATGGGGAGAGGAGGAGATAAGGTTCGATATTAGTGGTGCAGAATTTTTGGTTTCTTAAATTTGTTTTTTTTTTTGAAAATGTATTTTTTTTTCGGTTGGCCGGCTAACCGAGCCTAAAACCGGAACCGACCGGTCGGTTGGCCGGCTAACCGTGATCTCTCTTCGGTCGGTGGTCGGCAGCTATACAGGATGGCTCAGTTTAACCGATAACCGGTTTTTCGGTTTTTGGTTAAACCGAAACCGACCGACTGCCACCCCTAATATAAAGGAACATGTATATTGCAGTCTTTGATATGTAAAGACTGGATTGTTGTGCGGAAGATGCCCAAGTCGATCTATAGTGTAAGACATTGAACCGCTACTTGGTAGTTGAAAAAGATGGCAAATGAAGAGCCTTTGGGAATAAGCTGCTTAGGAGAGCGCACTATGTATAGTCCTTGTATAAGGCTAGATGCACTAATCATTGTTAGGGAAGGTAACTCTTGGATGAGACAAAAGGAAGAATGATATCATAAACATATGGTTGATTTCTTAACTAATTGGCTTATAGAAACCAAGTTAAATGTGGAGCTATGAACAAATAGAACATTCTTCAGTATTAAAGAAGTTGAGTGATCTAATTGTGCCAATTGCAGTGACAGGCACCTTATTCCCATTTGGTAAGTGTATAAAATATTTGATACCATTTTTTAAGCAATGAAAGAGTTTAATGAACTTATTATATGGTCCCTGTGTCAATGATCCACTTATTTTTAAGTGTAAATGTTGTAGAGAGAGCCAAGTTATATTTACCTATAGATGCTAGAACCTAAGAGATGTGAGATGCCACAGAGTTAGACCTGCTGATGATCTGGTGAGAACCAAAACCATCATTCTCTATAGAGCGAGATGGATGAGGTTGATTGTTCACCATACATGCATGCTGAAAGTGAGGAGGTTGAGGTGGCAACTACTGTTGTGAAGTTTGCTTCATAACCTGTTGAGAGCCAACATTGGTAGAGAAGGGTTGTATGATTTGCATCATTTTCTTTTACTATTGTTGGAAATTCAAATATTCTGCTGGGATAACCATAACACTACAGGAAAATCAGTTTTCAGTCATGGTATCTTATTCACAGTAAGTTTTCCCGTATTTAGATGTATACTAATGATCACGGTAAAAAATCCTGTAATAAATTGTATGGTTCTAATCACGGGAATTAATTTAACAATTTTTCAATCTTTATTTACCGTGATTAGTTGTTAGTCACGGTTAAATACCGTGAACAATGTTATATTTTATCTTTGCAAAATGTAAATGAAAAATAATATGAATGAAAACGAATAAGTTTGGACTCGTTGAATTGCCTAATTGAAACTTCAATGGTTAACTTGGGACTTTAATTTTGTGACACTTGTAAGTTGGGACACTATTAATTTGGACACGTTTAATTTGGGACACTTAATTAGAACTTCATGCTAAGCTGTTGGACACTAAATTGGGACACTTAATTGAAAATTGCTTAATTTATTGGACACGTAATTGGAACTTCATAAACCCGCACATGACAATTCCCTCCCGCAAAAATTTGCCTAAAATTTCCTCCCCCGCCGCAAAACTTCCTCCGCCTGAAAATTATCTCTCCCGCGATGCAAATCTTCATCCCGCCTGAAAATTGTCTCCTGCCAAACTTCCTCCCGCGTTTTAGGCTCCAAAATCCAAACCCAAATTTTTTGGCTCCATTGAAAAGTTGCTCTACCGAAACTTTAGGCTCCAAACCCAAAATTTTAGGCTCCACTTTTGCAATTTTGGCTCCCAACTCTCGCGCGATTTTTTTAGCAGATAAAAAGGAAGAACAACAAGGTATTAGGTTTTCTGTCCCACTCTCTGCGTTCCCAATCAGAAATAAACCTCTACAACTATCTCAATCTCCTCATCCTCTTTCTCGACAATCTCTCCAATCTCTCCAATTCGAAGCTCATTATTTCAGTCGAATTTCTTCTCCTTGCATGCCCTGAAGATTTCTCTAGGCTTGCAGCTGAGGTATGTTCCCATTCTAATCTCTCTTTATTTCAGCTGGACAAGAAATCCATGAAATACATTTATCCCCTTTCTCTCCCGTGAACCCTGTAACCCTTATGCAATTGAAACAAAGTAATTTTAGCACAATTTGTAATTGATTGGTAATCGACAAAGTATCCATTCCAATTTGTAATTGATTAGTAATTTCTCTAGGCTTGCAGCTGATTGGTAATTGATTTCACGTTATCCTGGTTCAGTACATAATTAAGTTCTTGTTCTTTTGTTGTAGAAGATGAAGGCTGGTCAGAATCTCAAGGTGAACCGTATTCAGAATCTTAAGGTGAAGAGTGGTCAGAACCTTCAAAAGACTTCTCAATCTCGTGACAATGAAAAAGCTTCCAAAAAAACTCCAGAAAAATATGTTGCTCCTGGCTCACTTGGGAGGAGAGTTCCAAATCGACCAACATCTTTCTCCACTTTAACATCTTCGTCAAATGTGCCTTCCAAATCTCATCCCATGGCACAAGCAACACCTAGTAGGTACCTTGTATAATTAATTTCACATTGTTCTATTTGCTGAAACTACTAACTTTTGGCTCTATTTTGCAGCTCCTAGAAGGGCAAACATACCCACTATTGCAACTGATGGCATGCCACAAAGGGGAGGAGAACCCTCTGGTGTAACTGATAACATGTCACAAAGGACAAGAGAACCCACAATTGAGAGAAATATGCCCTTACCTCAAGAAGAACCAGCAATGGAAGATGCAGAGGTGGAACCTGTTATAGAAGATGAACATGTGGCTGCTAATGAAGAATCCACTAACATAGGCAAGTTTTTTATTTAGCACATGCAACTTCATATAACAAATGTTGTTGCATTGAATCTGCCAATCTGCCAATTAATTAATTGATTTTGTTGCTGCTGGTTTTTGTTGCAGCTAGAAAGAAAAATGTACGAGGAATAAGCATTTGTAAGGCTGTTGCTAGACTTAAGCGTGGTGAGAAGCTGCCTATCGCCTTCTACAACAATCGTGGTGTTGGGCCAAATAGAGCAACTTGGTCAAGCTTTATTGGATTAGTTGTTCGGAATCCCCAAATTTGTTCATTCAGATCAAGAAAATGGAAGTCGAAGAGTCGGGCAGAACTTGAGCATATGTGGGCTGCAGTTACGGTAAGGAACAACATGCAATTCTGTCTTGTCATTTTTGACTTCCAAGTTATTCGTACAATCTTATAGAGTGTTTAAAGATAGCTAATGCTTATGATAACAATGATTGTAGGAGTATTTCCATAATCCCAATATGATAGACTATAAGTATCATACTTTAATTCATATGAGGGATCGTTGGAACAAATGGAGGTCTGTTTTGTATCGTGAATATGCAAAGCCATGTGGATCTGAAGAAGAGGCTGTGGAAAATAAGCCCGATGCAGTAGGTAACCAAGAAGATTGGGAATGGTGTGTGAAACATGTTTTCTACAGTCCTGAGTTTCAGGTAGTGAAACTTTGCCATATGTACTTGTAATATTGATTTTATTGGAATTTCTAATTCATTTTCTAAAATTGCAGAAATTGAGCAAGAACAATGCGTTGAATAGAATGAAAAAAACTATGAATCATCATAGCGGAAGCAAGCCTAATCGTGAATATTTCTATGAAATGGTATCATATATAACTTGTTCTTGTTGGCGTTTTTGTTTATGTTGCTCGTGCTGCTTGTGTTTATGATTCTACTTCTGTAGTTCTTTATTGTTTTTCTGTTGTTGTTTATTGTTTCTACTGCAGCAGCAGCTGCTGTTGTTTTTTATTGTTTCTACTGCAGCAAGTGTTGTTGCTGTTTATTGTTTCTAATGCAGCTGCTGTTGTTGTTTTTTATTGTTTCTACTGCAGCAGGTGTTGTTGCTGTTTATTGTTTATACTGCAGCTGCTGCTGTTGTTTATTGTTTCTACTGCAGCTGAATGGTGGTTTTATTAGTTGTGATTGTGAATGATTTTGGTTCATTTATGTAATATTTTTAGGGTGGAAAAGATGGGAGTCCTCCAACCATAGATAAAGTGTTTTTTGAGACACATAAGAGCAATGGTGAAATAAAGGAACCAGCAGCTAAAGAGAGACATGTAATATTGAATCTTTATATTTGAAGTTGTCTTCATATATATTCACTATGGTTTATGATTGTTAACTATTTTATTTTGATAGGCTGGACTTGTTGAAACGTGTGAAGCTAATCCAGAGTTGGAGCCAATAGAATTGGTAGAGGAGTACTATGGAGAACAAAGACATGGACATATAATTGGATTTGGAGGTGGATTGAGGCCTAAAGACTTGAAGGGTTCAGATGCATTAAGCAGGGCAGAATTGGCCAGTAAACTAAGGGAATCCAATGGTGAGAAGACAGACATGGCAACTGTAATAGCAGAGCAAGCCAAAGTTATTTCTGAAATGAGAGACATGATGGAAAGGATGAACCAGAGGTCTGCTGGTCCAGCAGCAACTCAAAATGGTTAATCTCAAGTATGTATCTTATGTATCCTTTACTTTTGTCCTATGGAGCCTCATGTTGATGCTTCTCCTTTCTGATTATGTTTTGTTTGAGTTTAGATACTAATATTGTCCATTCTTTTTGTTCATGTCAGGTATGGATGTGATTCATGACACCAACTAACCTTTTGCTTTTGGAGGATCCTTTTGCTTATGGATGATAGGATGAAGTGTAACTCTAGACTAGGAGTTTTAGATGTTTGTTGAAATCTTATAAATGATTTTGGATGGGTGTCATGTAATAGTTAACTAGCTTTTGGGATGGTAGAAGTATCTTAAACTCTTCTGATTATTGACTATTGATGTAAGAGTAGGTTTAGTATATATAACATCCACAACTCTTTTGACTACTGATGTAGAATGTAATGTTATTCTGGACTAAGTGTGGCAAGTTTTTGTAAATCAAAGTTGAGAAAAGTTGATGTTGATTCTTGAGTTACATTTTTAGAGAGTTTGCACCTCAATCCAGAACATGATTTCTTGGCGTTTGCACCTCAATCTATTGCCCGTATACAACAGCTTGTAGGCTCTAACCATTATGGCACATATGATTAATGGATCGAACCAGGTAGCAATTGTTGGTAGGGTGCCCAGATCTGCAGCATATCTGGGATGTACAAAAAAATTACCAACACATTGTTGGATCGAACCAGGTAGCTAGCTAGCTAAACAAAAAGATTATAACCAAACTACCAATTGAACCATCGTGCAAAGTACAAATTTTTTATCAATTAGTTCATTAAGTTTTTATTAGAAGTTTATCAATTAGTTCATTAAACTTTTATTAGAAGTTTATCCATATGAAGCCCACGTCAAAGTAGCCGCACTAGCCCATGGATGTTGGTTTTTGTCTTGTACGATGGCAAAACTTTAAACTCTCGTAATTTTGGACTCGATTATCCGATCGAAATAATTTTTTTTTTATTTCATATAATTTTTCGAGATCTACGTAGCCGCAAACGGCCGTAGGCGGTTTGTTCCCGACTTTTTCCAAAAAAATGTTGTTTTGTGGTCTAACCGGAACATTTTTTGATTTTCTCATACTTTGAAGAGTTTTAATTTTTTGTTCACACACCCATTTTGTGTAATTTTTTTTCCATTTTATAGAGGAATTGGAGTACTATCGTTTACAGTTGTGATGATGTTTAAATAGAGCCTATAATACCAATTTAAGTTCTGGTCCGTTTTTATACTTTTACTAATAAGATACTATTCAAACCATGTCAACAAATTTGAGTTTGGTCCATTGGTTTAGGAGACGAATTAAAATCCTGGGTAACAGGGCTCGAATGAAGGCCTGGACTTCTTCACTTTTCTTTTGTCATTTTTTGCTTCTCATATAGGATCGAGGCTTTCCTCCTCTTACCCTAATTTTCACTTTCCCTTTCCACTGCTTTCCTTCTCATCGTTCGTTCACGGACCAAATATGAAAACCAATCGAATTCAAGGGTCGATACACCTGATCGATTGAGTAAGTGTTCTTAATTATTTAGTTTCCATTTCATGTGGTGGAAATTGGAAAACGAGGCCAAGGGAAGGGAGTGGTAGAGATGGTGATAGAATTACTCCCCTTTAATCACATTCTAATGTTGCTATCCATAGAAGATGCAACAGCAAATACAGTTTGGAATTCTTGTTGTGCTTTGGGTTGATCAAGTTTACAGTTTTGTATTCCATTACAATACAATTCATGCTGCAGTTGATCGATCAAGTGTACAGTCAAGTGTACAGTTTGGAATTCTTGTTGATGGATTAGTTTTTAGTTCATATGTCGTGGTCAATTACTACATTATATTCTGAAAACGTGTCAAAATCTTTATTGCAGGTTGCAAATTCCTATGAACCTAACAAGAGTAAGAGATTGGATGACCTATTGTCACTATCACGAGGACCTGCTCAAAGTGTCAAGTGTTTTACAGGTTATGTCCTAAATGGTTTTCGTTTTCACACAAAGGATTATGACAAAAATTTGAGGACTCAAAATAACGGAGTCGTTGTAGTTGGCGATGATGGAGTTGATCTGAATGCTATAGACTACTATGGGGTTTTAAGAGAGGTCATTGAGTTAAAATTTCTTGGAGGAAGATCATTAGCTTTGTTTAGGTGTGATTGGTGTGATGTCTATGATAAGACAAAAGGGCTGAAAGTGGATGAACATGGGTTTGTGAGTGTCAACCTGAATAGAATGTTGAAGACAAATGAGCCATTTGTCCTTGCAAGTCAAGTATCCCAGGTATTTTATGCAGAAGACAATGTTAATAAGAACTGGCACTTAGCTGTAAAGGTGCCACCTCGAGCCATGGATGTGTTGCTAAGTGAAATGGTTCAGCCTATGGATTGGTATGGTTTCTCTTTTATTTATTTATTTATTTATTTTTTGTTGAATCTCTCCTTTTGGAAAGTGATTTTTGTTGTCTTATTGTTTCTAACATTACAATTTCAATTGTCTTCCTTTTGTGTTGTCATAGAAGACTGTTCTGCTCGGCCAAGTTTGTCATTATTGAAGATTCTGGAAAGGGACTGTTCTGTTTGGGTTAGTATCTTTCATCAAAGTCATTATAGTGAACTAAAATTGATCGATGAATTTTTTATACCGTCTTGGTTGTTCTGTTTGGGTTAGTATCTTTCATCAAAGCTCTCATTATAGTGAACTAACATAAATGGATGGATTTGTATGCAGTTGGCTGTTCTGTTTGGGTTAGTATGCTTCATCAAAGCTCTCATTATAGTGAACTAAGATAGATTGATGGATCTGTATGCAGTCTTGGCTGTTCTTGTTTACTGCAATTTCCCTTTTAGTATGCTCAGATGTTAGACAATGAATCATATGTCTATAGTAGAATGTAGGGTTCTTCTAACTTCATAGCCTAGTTATTGGATACCATATCATGATTCTGATTCATGGCTGGTGCATGACTAGAATGAGGATAAATAGTTCAAATGATATAGCTCCTTTCACTTTTCAGGTTCATTACTCTTTTTGTTGGTGGTGATGAGATTTTGGGGTGATGTTCATGGATACTCTCTCACAACAAGCTCCAAGAAGACGGTGGTCTACACAGGAAGCTCTAAACCTATATAAGTAGATTGTAATAGATATATAGAATCGCTTGTAGGTAAGATATTATTCTATTTACACTTATTATTGTTGGCAGGAAACTTTAATATATCTGATTTTCATAATTATTGTGTTGTATCTAGTCACTGAAACATACTGTGACTGATTGGTGGTGTGTATGTAGTCAGCTGTAAATACTATGACCGATGCTTTGTAATTAGTCTTGGGAAAATACAGTGACCAGTGGTTTGTAATTTGGCACAGAAAATACCGTGTACAGTAGTTTGTATGTAGTCACAGGAAATACAATGACTAGTTATTGATATTTTTAATCACGGGAACACTAGTCACTACAGGTATTAAATACCGTGATTAGTTATTGAGATCTAGTCACGGGAATTGATTTTACCACAGTAAATACCGTGATTAGTGATTGACATCTAGATACGGGAATTGATTTTGCCACAGTAAATATCATGATTAGTGATTGATATCTAGTCACGGTAATCAATTTTGCTACGGTAAATACCGTCATTAGTGATTGACATCTAGTCACGGTAAACAATTTTGCTACGGTAAATACTGTGTCAAAAGGTGAACTTCCCGTCTTTAAATGATTTTTTTTCAGGTTTTGTGCTCCAATTTAATGCATTAGTCACCCGAATTCCCGTGAGTAATACGTACATATTATCACAGGAAATTATACCGTGAGTAGTTATAACTAGTTATGGTAGAAATTTCCCGTGACCTTTACAATTAGACACGGAGGTATATATTACGGTAACTTTCCCGTGACTGGAAGTACTAAACACGGAAAACACACTTTCAAACACGGGATTCACCGTGAATAAATGATCTATTTTCTGTAGTGTAACACACTACAAAATTAGGAAGCTTTGGGAACCAAAATAGGGGACGATTAAATGAGTTTGTCCTCGAAGATGCAAGTCTTAGTGACATAGGGGACAATATCATAAAATCGTCTCTATAGATGCAAGGCGGCCAAAAATCATATTGACGCGCTATTTTTTAGCGTCCCCATAGCCAAAGGCGGAACAAAATTAACTATCCTTAGTTGAATAATTGGAATGTGCCGCCTAGTTTTCCTTTAGGATTTTTCTCTTTAAGTTCTAGCCTCTGGATGAGTTTTATATATTAATTAAAATTATAATGATAGCTTCCTAGGGTTTAGTCTTCTATTTTTTCTCCAGTCCATCTTCTTCCTAGGCAACAGAGGGAACTCTACGATCTCAGCTCCCCTTCTTCTCCAAGCCCTCTTTCCTCATCTTTCTCTATGTGGCTGTCCTTCCTCTAACACCCATGCTTTACTTCTTATTGTAGTGTAACCCGATTGAGGAATACCATGTAAGGGCGAGAAAGATATTTGTTGGCAATAACAACTCAATTTTCGGTTAGGGTTCTTCTAACTCGTCCTGTTAATGGCGCTTGACGGCAAGAACGACCTAATTGACGAGGGGGTAATTGAACCTGTCGCTGGAATTATAAGGTATTAAGACCATATGATTTGTTTGTTTCTCTTTTCACATTGTCTTTGTTTAGGGTTTTAGGTCTCTGTTCTACATTTAACAATAAAATTTTGTAATCTGTTTGGTTGTAATTGTTTGTTTTACTTTCGGGCGTGGGGAAGGTTCTGTTGTTGGTATTTCTATAATCCAGCCAACAATATCTTGTTTTGACAGGATTGTGTTACATCGATTCAAGGGAACCAATTGAACCTAGAATTGGTAGAGCTAGGCAGATTTCAATACCATGTCCTTCCTCACGTTGGTAAATGGCCTTCAAATTCCTCTCTCAGTCTGCTGTCTTTCATGCGATGTCTTATTAGAGAGAACATTATTCAAGTAAATTTAGGAATATGATTTATTATGCAATGCATACATACTAATCG